TATATATATATATATATATATATATATATATATATATATATATATATATATATATATATATATATATATATATATATATATATATATATATATATATTGAAATACTTGATCAAAATCTTTATTGCAGCAAAATTAAGTTCATACATTTAACAAAGCCTTTACACATTCAGTGCACGAAACAGTAAATGCACTACATGAAAGTCTCAAAACCATCTCCGTTGATCTGTGGGTCTCTGCATCGCCCAATACAAACAAAAATGATTTGTCATGTAATATCTTTGGCAAAGGTCTGACCTCATTTACATCGGTTTATTCTTTAGTCAATCATTCATACGTCAACTAATTAAATATCCTAAAACACATAACAAATCAGTCACTAGCAGATGTGAATATTCAGACAGACATACAAGATTCAACATACATGATTCCTCACAGATACTTAGGTAGTTTTAAGTCACGTACATAATATTCTATGAAACTGTCTACAATAGATGCATCAGTTATCTTCTGGTATAACATAGATAGATAGATAGATAGATAGATAGATAGATAGATAGACAGATAGACAGATAGATAGATAGATAGATAGATAGATAGATAGATAGATAGATAGATAGATAGATAGATAGATAGATAGATAGGAAACATGGATGGATGGATGGAAGGATGGAAGGACGGACGGACGGACAGATAGAAACATGGATGGATGGATGGGTGGGTGGGTGGACGGACGGACGGACGGACGGACGGACGGACGGACGGACGGACGGACGGACGGACGGACGGACGGACGGACGGACGGACGGACAGACAGACAGACAGACAGACAGACAGACAGACAGACAGATAGATAGATAGATAGATAGATAGATAGATAGATAGATAGATAGATAGATAATCCTGTAGAGTTACCAGTCACTTTAAAGCTAGCCATTTTCACTACACACATTTGAAGGCCACTCTTGACTGAAGTCATTTTCAATGACAGCTGGTAGTTTGAGTTGAGGATGGTGCCATGCGGTGACACTGGTAGTGAATAGGGTATGCAGATAACAGACCAGCAGTACAGAGGCTCCGTGACACCCAGCCATCACATGATTATTCAGATATCTTGCTTCAAAATAAAGTGAACTGCAATGAACAACAATGTTGGTTGCATCCAGTGTAGATACAATGTAAGCAGCCATTCACACACAATGCATTTCTTTTCATTCCAAAGCACATATTTTCCTTAGTTTTTTTTTCTCTATGTAAACACCATACATCTTTTACAGCACCTTTTTCCTCAGATTTATAAACGCATGCACAGTGCGGAAGTATTAAAAGTGTACCAGAAGATGCTAAATCATTACACTCAATGAGAGAGAGACTGTTTAAACTATATGACGATGAGAAGATGAAGGATGGCTATGAATGAAATCACCTAATGGACTTAAACAACTAAATGCACTACAGAATATTACGTTTTCAAACACATTCACAAATTGCATGCATTCCATCAGTGCTGCATGAGCTTGGTTTGCGGCGCCAATTGCTGACCCCTCACAACAGTTCAGATGTTTTTATTATAATGTGTTGAAAAGTGTCATGTTGGGGGCGTGTACACAGCTCGCTGTTTTAGGGGCGTGTTGCTTCTCATGAAAATTAGTTTTTCTTACTTAGATTTTTTGTCTTGTTTCTAGTCCAAAAAGTTCTTAAATCAAGAAGCATTTTCCAGACAAGCAAAACATATTGTCTTGTTTTAAGAAATAATATTCCAAAATGAAGTGAGTTTTACCTTAAATCAAGCAAAATAAACTGCCAATGGGTTAAGCAAAATAATCTTATCACAAATCGAAAAACAAGATTATTTTGCTCACCCCATTGGAAGATTATTTTGTTTGATTTGAGGAAAAACTCACTTCATTTTGGCATATTATTTCTTAAAAAAAGACAATATGTTTTTCTTGTCTAGAAAATGCTTCTTGATTTCAGAATTTGTAGATATTTGGACTAGAAACAAGATTAAAAAATCTAAGTAAAAAAAAAAAAATTGCAGTGGAATCAGCGCGCCATGCAGCGCCATGCATTCCAGATCTCCAAACACAGGCCTCCACCAGGGCAAACACTATGGTGCCCTGAGTCGGCGGCCACCCGCGGTGCCCAGCCACAGACCCGAAGCGCCACCGTGTGCACACCGACAGAAACTCATGCCCAGAACTCCGAAATGCATGGCACCGCGCTATGCAAAGAGGCGTTTCTGGTGTGCGACCTGCAGGCAAGTTTGTTATTTTTTTCCAATTGAGAGACGCGCACATGAGGCAACGCGCTTGCACTTTTCCAGCTGCACCTAGTTAAGATCACAGGGAGATTCTGTGATGCAACTGAAGTTTAAGCTAAGCGCAATGAAAAGTACACATTTTTGTAAACTTACCAAAAGGTACAAACAATAATTCAGATTAAAGCGATAATGTGGAGAAAATTGATCTTGTGTTGAGCCCAGTGAGCCTTACATCTAACAATAGAGCAAGGGTGTTTCTTTAGTGACATCGCTTTGACTCACACGCTGAAAATGGCGGACATGAAACAACAAACAAAGGATATGGTGACACGTGGCTGTCAATCAATATTGGTGGGCGGGGGGGACCCCACTCCTACGTCAAGTTGCGATCAATCTAAAAACCGCTCCAATTGGTCCACCTCTTTTATGTTGTTAAACTGAAAAAAAAAAGCACTGTGTGTGTTTACATCACCCCAATATGACGGTCTATACACTGTACTTACACACATGTCTGTCCAAACAGCTTAAAAAGTAGATTTTTCACCATAGGTGCCCTTCAATGCTGTTGATCTGCTGTGACATCTTTAAAATAGAAACTGTTTTCAAAATAGAAATGTTGCCGTTGCACATGGTTAGCACAAAATACCTTGTATCGCGTGTCACTGTCACGTCGCATGTTGTTAGGACGCTGTGTAGGAGTCAATAGAAACAACATCTATCACCTATTAGAGCTCAAGCATCAGTGTTCAATCATTCATTTTCCTTCGGCTTAGTCCCTGATTTATCAAGGGTCGCCACAACGGAATGAACCGCCAACTATTCCTGTATATGGAATAGTTGGCGGATGCCCTTCCAGCAACAACCCAGTACCAGGATACACCCATACACTCTCAAATTCACACACACACACACACACACTCATACACTATGGTCAATTTAGTTAATCCAATTCACCTAGAGCACATGTCTTTTGACTGTGGGGGAAACCGGAGCACATGCAAACTCCACACAGAATAGCCAACTGGTGCTCCTTCAGCTGAGACTCGAACCAGCGACCTTCTTGCTGTGAGATGACAGTGCTAACCACTGAGCCACTGCGCCGCCCCTCAAGCATCATTGTCCAGAAGTTAAAGTGAAACGAGCAGATGTTCGTCTTCAAAATAACAAGCAAAAAGCAGACAAGAGATTATTTTAGTTCTTGATAGACAGCAGAGGTTGATGTAAAACTCAGCATCATGGTGGATGAAGCCAGTGTGACGTGATCCTTGAGCTCCAAAAATAATGAGGAGTCAATTAAAGTGTTATTTCACAATTACCCATATGATCCTGTTCCATAAAAAAAATAAAAAAAAAAGTTGAAAGGGGAAAACGTTTGAAGCAGCCAAGACACACAGTGTCTCCAGTTAAGCCCTTTGGGGGGAAAAGGCTTTTTCAATTTTATTAAAAGATGCAATTTGTTTAGACAGGTCCTCTGGCACAGTCTCTATATGACGATAAATCAAAAGTATGTTTTTGGCTCCTTGCATCCCTGAGGGAAATTCAACGTCCTTCATAGTTTGAGAAAGAGTTGTCAGTGATGATTAGCCCCGCCTCCTCCTCTACAGCCATTGGTCACTTTCACATGTTCATCATTGTCCTCAGTCATGCTGGTCTCCCCGTCGTCTTCCTCGTCTTCTTCATTATCACTTCTCTCGTCTTTGGTTAACTGTGGAAAATAAAGCATGGGGTTGAAGATCAAAATAATATTGGAGGCAACCAAAATAGACTCTTTCATTTATAAATTAAATTTAAAGAAAATACTGAGGGGTGATTGAAAATTTAGTGTTTTTAGATGCCGTTGTTTCATTGCTAACACTACAATAACATCCCTGATTAACATTAAGTATTGCATAACACATTTAACTAACACGCATAAGTGTGCTAAGATGTTGTGGGAGGTTCCCAGGGTGTTTTTAATGAAATTGTTAACATTTTACTATAAGAACCTTATGGTTAACAGTAGTTGATGCATTAACTAAATTTTACTACATTATGCAATAGTATCTGGATGCAGCCTTTATGGTGCAAGCTGAGACTGCAACACCCAGCGATGCAATGTCAGACACAATGCACTTAAATGGAGCTAGTGACGTCACTGTGATGGGTAGGGTTAGGGGTGGGGTTAGGTGAGCCCATTAAAAAGCATTGGATGCAGCCCAGATTGCACTGCAGCAGGTCTGCAGCCAGACCCCTCTCACATTATGGGTGATGATCATGATTTTGCTATATGCTATCTGATATTGGGCATGGATATATAATATTGCACTCCTGATTTTCGAAAGTATTACATCGCTTTGTAAATGTTTATCTGCTTGTTGAGTCGTGACGTATAAAATATTGTTCCCAGGTCTGAGCCGCTACTCATTTGAAATGAGAAAACATGATTTTGAGACCACTTTTTAGTCATAACACACATTATTATCATGAATTTTATATAAAAGTACGCTGTACACAACATTATCTGGACTTGCTTCATCACGGACATCAATATTTTAACAATTTATAAAAAATTAATCACTTTCTGGCCATCGGATATTAGGCATGGATATGTGTATTGCGACCTTGATTTTTAGTAATACATCGGTTTGTAATTCTTTATTATTACCATTTGTTGAGTCCCCCTATACAGTTTGATAGAGCGCTTGGACCCAGAAGCCGCTTTGCGTGGCATCACATTCAACAAGCGGATGGTTCAAAAACACTAGTATTTTTTCATGTGGGTAGAGCTGGACGATATGGCAAAAAAATTATCACGATAATTTTTTCATATCAGTCGATAATTATCACGATAAATGTCAAATCTTTAAATCTATTATATTTATAGGATTTTCATCATGCCAATGGCTTTGTTCAGCTGATTTACCACACATTTTGTGAAATGTTTTAGCTGTCTGACAATACAAATAATAAAATAATAAACAAAAGAACAATCTTAATTCAGCATTTACTGTTCGAGTTTTCAACAACACATTACCTACAAGACATTACCTACAAGTTACTGGATATTATTGTTCAACATAAAAATAAATAAATAAAACTGGTTCAGAACAAGTAAAAGGTGAATTAATGGCCACAGAATTTTTAATTTTGGATGAACTCTCCTTTTAATGGCGAGTATGGTGAATTTAGGGTGAAATATCTTTTAATGTATAGGCTATTTAATTTAGGCATGCTAACGATTACTTGATCTATTGATCGTCGAAAATGCTTTAATCGATAGACCTTATCGATGACTGATTAAGCATGGACATTTAAAATTTTAGTTATGCTTTGCGCTGTGAGATGCGTCCACGCATTACATCATCAAGTGTATGCAGTTTAGCTTACTTTTGCAGTCACCCTAATAATAATACGTTTCTTAAAGCTTATGATAATCTTTTTTTCTTAATGATTGAGGCTTTGTAAAGTTTTTATTGCTTTGTTTTTTTTTGTTTTTGTTTTCTTCAATGCAGTGATGTTATTTTTCTTTCTTATATTCAATAAAAAAAAAAAAAACGTATGCAGTCACCCTCTTGAAATCGCATATTGCGGGACGCATTAAAAAAATGTATGCGCAGATCTCAGTTATATCCGAGGATGTTTTAATTTTACCTGGCATGAATAGGCTAATGCAGACTCTCATTTTATAAATCGCGCATCACGGCGAGACATGCAGGGAGCCTCTCCATTCACTCTACGGGTTTCTGAGCTCGTTCTCATCCTTCAGGCCGAGTTTATTCTTCCGAGGTAACCTAAGAAAACTATCAGTGCTGCGACTAGCTTGTACAGACTGTCCAGCTCATGCTGCTCAAATTGCGCTTTGTTTATGAATTAAAATGAAACCGTGAAAACAGTTTAATGGATTGTTTTGGCGCTAAACAGGGCCGGAGTGGGACTCCTTTTCAGCCCTGGAGTTTCAAGCCTCAGACCGGCCCACCTCAGTTCACGACTGACTATATTAAAATAAGGTCATTTCCAATTCAGTTTCTAATGACACTATCACGTCTTTTTTTGAGAAAACAACTGCTTTAGAACTTCAAATGTTCAACAACCCTAACAGTATTATGTGTCTTAACAATAAAAATGAAAAAAAAAAAAGAATTACTCAGACAAGGATCGAACCCGGGTCACGGGGTCGAAAACTAACGTGCTATCCACTGAACCACAACAGCTGTTCAGTGAATGTTATCCAAGTTATATCATCATTAACCTGCAGGCTGCAACTTGCTCACTGAGCTGCGAGAAAATAGATAAGGTCAAGGTCAAGGTCAAGGTAAAATTTATTGTCTCCCGTAGGAGAAATTTGTTTTAGAAAAAAAGGTTCTGCTGTACATCGACACCAACAAGACAACATGTAACATACATACACATTAAAATCTAATCCTAAAATACCTCCTAATATAAATATGATTCCATAAAATCAGTAATTTTAATAAAATTTTTATAAAAAAAAATAAAATAAAATAAAATAATTAAAGTACCATATGCCCCACTGCCCTCTGTTGTGCAAACCAATCCTGTTATCTTAGTCTTTGACCATCCTTCCTTGCTTGCTCGTTAATCAACTTAATTGAAAAAGGAACAAAAGAATGTTTAAATCTATTATGCTTGCACAACGGGACCCTATATCTTCTGCCAGAATTCATCAGCTCATATTCCACAGACAGCACATGTGAAGAATCAGATAAAATCTTGTTGGCTTGTTGGATTGTGCACAACTCAAAGATGTCTTTTAGTGAACCAAGTGTCTTAATTCCCATGATTTTTCCTGCCACTCTCATCAGGTTATTTACTTGGGTTTTCATTTTTACTGTCAGATTCCCAAACCAAACAATAATCCCATATCTTAAAATAGACTCTATTGTTGCTTTATAAAAAGTCATCATTATGCTGCTACTCACTCCAAATAATCTTAGTCTGCGTAAAAAGTGTAATCGCTGATAAATTCTTGCACAAAGACTTGACACCTGAGAGTGCCAATTAAGTTCACTATCAATGTTCACTCCTAAATATTTATATGAATCAACCTGCTTAATGTCTTTATCATAAACCACAATAGAGCTTGCATAAAAAGAGTAGAGCTGCGGTAAAATAATGAATAAAAAGGCTGTGGTCAAGTAAATAGATAAATAAATTTAAAAAGTGTGACTGCTGAGAGCAACCGATTCTGGAGATAGGGATACCGGCCCTCGCGGCCAAAAAACGGACCGGCCCACCGGGAATTCTCCCGGTCCTCCCGATTAGCCAATCCGGGCCTGGCGCTAAAGCATATGCTATAGCAGACTTGTTTTAAAGCACTTCACCTCAGATGTTTTTCATTCTTCTTGAACATTAGTATTAAGTTACACATTTTACATAACAAAATTAATTGCAAAAAGAAACAGTTTCAAAGAAAAATATATAAAGTGTATATATTTTTAGTTTGTGCCCGCCTTAAACAACTGCGGTGGATGATATTCCACTGTGTGGAAAATAAGGATTTAATTAACGATCCACTGATGTTGTAAACCTCTGTAACATATTTGCTGCATTTTTAATAGGTCATTCTTTTAAAGATTATTTCTTGAGCATTTCTCCTCGGTGATTGTGTCCTTCATAAAGGCTGGTTCTTTTACCGTCGATGAGGGACAACAAGGGCGTAGGTTTGCACTTGACATTGGGACTGGGAATGAGTGAATACAATCCCCCCAAACCCCGGCCAAGAATGCATATCGTTTTTTATATATCTTCTATATTGCCTTTAATTATTTAACTGCTATTAAATATATTATTAATTAATACTCTCTTCATACAATTTATTAAGTTAAATTAAATAGTCAGACGAGTGGCCAAGGGGGTTCAGGTGGTTTGAAAGACCAAAAGTTGGATTATTATTATTATCATATTTGAATATATCTTATTATTCAAATGGCCAACCAAGGAAGGTTGAATGTGCTGGCCGGTTTGTTATTTGCCTACAGGCTTCAGTTTTTAATTTAAATTAAGTTTTAACAGATTTCCCTAAGAAAATTATAATAATATAAATTGTATTTTTTTAAGTATATTTTCATAATTGAAGAGTTTAGATGCAAAAACCTTTAAATGCCATTTAATATTTTCTTCTAAAATTAGCATTTTTCTCCAACTCCTGTGTGTGATTTTACTTTTATAGTCAAAAATTGTTATTAATATGTCACTAAAATGTCATATTTATTCCTCAGTTAAACAGAATGAATAGTTAATCAGGTGAATAACTGCAAAAAAAGTTCAGTTTTTCAGAAAACATATAACCCCTACTTTCAATAAGCTGGCTACAAGCCTGATAGTGTAACGTTAAAATAATGTTTATTAAACTGATTAAGAAAGAGAATAATAAAGACTTAAGTTTATTTTTCGTGCAAATTAAACATGTCTTATAGTATAATTTGGAGCATGGGCTGTAGTTTTTCTTACAAATAGTTTCAACCGAAATTACTCTAAGGGATTAGGAGAACTGGCAGGTTCATATATGTTTAGAGGTGTTTATTCTGCTGTTAGTTTTCAGGGAATATTGTTCACAGATTATATCAGTCTGCTTTAACGTTAGACTGACCGTAAAAGCGGTGAAAAACACTAGCAATAGCGGCATTATCATGATAGACTCATTCAGTAATGAACTAAAGTTTATCTGACTTACACTTTTCGTTGAAAAAAGCTCTTTATCTCCAA